TTCCAGGTTTTGGTGGTTAAGTAGTGATCACAATCTCATGGGCTTCCCCTGCCCAGGCTGGCTTTGGGATCCTTAGATCTCAGCCTCCCGAGCAGCTAGGGTTACAGGTGAGAGCCACTGGTACTTGACAATTCCTGCACTTGTGTTCAAAGGGCACCAGAGCAACTCTTGAGGAATAATTCCCCCCCTCCCTCTTGACTTCTTTCTCCCAACACTGGGCGGTGAGTGTCAGCGCACTGGTTAGGTTCTCTCCTGGGTCATCTCTTGCTGAAAGGGTAGAGAACGGTCATCATCTGTCCTCCATCTCAGGAAACACACCTGGCAAGGCCAGATCCTCAGTGCAGGACTGAGCTTCCCATGGGCTGTGGGAAGGCCTCCCAGGATGCTGTCTTACCTCAGAGTGAGCTCAGGCTCCTGGAGGCCAGGTCCTGCTCCCAATCCACTAATCCAGCCTCACTTTAAAACCTCACCTCTTGAAATTCCTAGTGGTGCCCCATGGAAACATCCTGTCCACACCACCTCTCAGCACTGCCAAGTCAAATCTTCTGGATGCAGTGTGTGGGGTCAATGCTTATAGAAGTCTTTCTGCACTTTCCAGACTGACCTAGATGTCATGGCTCTGTGTGTTTCCATAGCAACCAATGGAAGGGATATCAAAAATCAGGCAGACATTTGCCTTATGTTTACTCAAGGAAGAAAAGTGTTCTTAAAAAAATTATAGATATGACCAACTGGGTAGCTATTTATTTAAGCTCTTATAGTAAATCATTAGAAAGAATCAGGTTACCCGACTTTTAACTTTGAGAGAAGGGCACACCTCGATAATGCAATCTTTCCAACGTTTCATGAGAACACTGCAAGGTTGTCCCTGCTTCTCTGCTGCCCGCGTAGGGGGCACTGTGAGGTGACAATGAACTTGAAAGACCTTTAGACCCAGAATCTGGGACCACTAGAGACCAGAGTTTGCATTACTAACTGGACGCCCCTGGTCACAGATAGTGTCATTTCCTCGCTCTATCAATGCCTTAGTTTGACATGGCTAGCTGTATTTGAGTGAGCATATAAACTCCAGCCTGATCTACCTCATTTCCATGACATTGCTGCTCTCTCTTTGGGCCGTCTCTTGTCCTGTACCCTGCCCACTCACGTCTTCCCTGAGCTTCCCTCTTGTCCAAGAGCCAGCGCCCACTGTGTACACAGGGATGGCACAGGTTCAAAACACAGAGAGACTCTTTTCTCTGGATGTGTTCATTCAAAGAATATTAAAAAACCGTACTTGAAACTTTTCCCCCCCCACAGGATAACCAATTAATAAAGGAAGACTGTTGGTCATGTCCCATGAGTGAGGTACATGTTCAAGGGCTTGGTTTTTACCACAATATTGCATAGTTGAAAACCTGAGAGTAATCTGAAATTACATATATGTACATATAAATTGTACACACATTTATAATTTATATACCTATCTATGTGTGTCTGTTTATGTGCTCATATATAGACATACATATATGGCTTTAGTTATGTTTTGAATACTCTGACGTTTTTCACCAGGCTGGCCTTGGGTCACAGTCTTCCTATGTATGCCTCCAAATAGGTGAAATTACAAGCATGAGCTACTACAGCTGGCTTATTTCAGACAGAAGTGTCCCTACCCATTCTCCCCTGGGCTGGCTTCAGACTGTGATCCTCCCAAATCTCTGCCTCCTGCATAGCTGGAGGCACGTGCTTGGATTTCCAACGATATCCTCACAGCACTCTCATTTCAAGAACTGCGCTTCTAATTATCCGGCTTCATGGGAAATGTCTGTCTGAGAGTCAAAACCGACATGATGAGATGTAGCTGACCTTACCAAGACGGGGCGTCTACAGCCTAACCTGTCTGCTTACAAAAATATAAATCCAGTTGCTGTTACATGATAATGAACTTGCTAGCTCTTTTACAACCTTGCGACGATTCAGTGATTTGTGGTAGCTGTATCTTCCAGACACTGCTCATACACCAGATTTCTAAAAAGGAAATTAGGTTATAAAATAGGATGCTGAACCTAGTCAGCTCTGCTCATTGAGAGATCACCACATGAAATATATCCAGGAGATGAAGTAACAGCATTTTACAGTTGGGGCAAGACAGAGTGAGTGCAATCTCAGGCAAGAGTGAGAAATTACAGATTAGATGTCACAAGGCCTGTATAAATTGCCGGGGTAGTTCTCCAACGTAATAAACTGCTTTCACCTTGTCTCTCTTAGGCCACAGAGGTACATTCCTAGGTTCATCCAAACGTTTATTTGATGGTGATAACATCTGTGATCTTGGTAGATCCTGGAGGAGGGACCCTGTGTTGCAGAGGTAGCAGAGGAGTTACAAGTCTAGCTGGTGGCTCTCTGAGTACAGTGCCAGCTGGGCGAGAGTCCCTGGAGGAGGAAGAGGCTCATCATGAGGGAATCTCAGCAGTCCAGTGGGCCCAGAAAAGCCCATCCAGGGCTTTCTATTCCTTTGAGAAAGTGCAATTATAGAAGGATCTACCAACTCAAAGGGGCAGTGCTAGTAGGAAACATGGACATCTAATGAAGAAAACCGTAATAGGACTGAGATCTGAGGCGCCCCAGGGCAGTGGCGTTTATGTCACCTCTGTCCCTAGAGGTGACAGGGAATTTGAGCACTTCTTCTCAGAGGGTAACAATGACCCAATATTTGGTGCCACACTAAAATTTATGAAAGGTGCACCTATGCCACACTTGCATGTAACTTTCACCAGCCATGTGAAGAAAGGCAACACTTCTTTATTTTATTTACAAAGAAACGGTGGACATAGCCCAGCTCAGCTCAGTGACCTACCTCAACCTTACACCTAGTGAGTGTGGTCAGGGAGTGAAATTTGTCTTCTGACCCTAAAGCCAGAACAACTTGTGCCACCAGGGAGAAACTGAATTCAAAATATTATGTTCTCATTCCTTTTATTATTTTTAAGGCAAAAAAAGTCCTGAAACAGGGGCTGGGAAGGTGGCTCAGTGGTTGAGCGCTTACCTTGCATGCCAGAGGCCCTGGGTTCGATTTCTCAGCACCACATAAGCAAAAAGAAAAAAGCCAGAAGTGGTGCTGTGGCTCAAGTGGTAGAGCGCTAGCCTTGAGCTGAAGAGCTGAGGGACAGCACCCAGGCCCAGAGTTCAGGCCCCA